GAGAGGTTATAAGGGAATGCGGCGTTTCTGAAAGCGACAAAAATGTGCAGTGTTAAAGTAGGTAACAAGGCAAGGCATAGGACCGTGAATTATAACATGAAAGAAACTTTGGTACAGAAAATTACAAAACAAGAATGCCTCCCACCAAATGCCCCCAGAAATAATGGCCGTCAATATCTGGGCCCACCATCTCCTTCAATTTGGGGGACATTTTGCATTTCTCATTGGACACATTTGATCAGACTTACCTGGACCCCCCGAATGTTACACCTCATAAAAGATCTCAAATAATGTAACTCAACTATAAGTGGAGGAATGAGGAATCAAGTTCCCCGTTGCCGCACTGGTGATCAGCACTCAGTTTTATTCGTTGATTTAATAAATGAATCCTTGTTAACTGCCAAAAAGAAAAAACACTACTATTATTATAAGAACTAATTTAATTTTTAATTTGATTTTAAATATAAGACTCTAATTCACTTTATTTCTAATATTTATCTATTTTTTTTCAAAATAATCCTTATAGTAGTTGCACATATTAAATGTTTCATTAAATGAGACTTGATTAGTAAAAGTATTATAGAGAAGACAATACATATTTATTACAAATAACTAACTTAATTAATTTTTTTAATCTATTCAAACCAGTCAACTAGTTTTTATATTAAAAACCAGTACTTTTCTTTTTTTGTGTTCCATTTGGCGGAAAAAAAAATCATATATCAAACAAGCCCCCCGTAACAAATTGCCCTATAGATTATTTAATCGGTGGTGTTATTATGTGTTTTCAGAGGTCAAGCCGACTGGTTTCCTTGTTGCTCTTTGGATTATTATTCTTATTTCTGCTTAACCGGGTGTGACGCTGAAAAATATGTTCAATGAAAACAGAACCTCAAGTTGAAACCAAGGAATCCTACGTGGCGTGGTCTAAGGAAACCAAGGCGCTGTTGGAGAGAGACCACTCGGGACTTCTTATTGGACATCACAGAGCGAATTCCCCCTCCTGACCACGCCGCAACACCAGAGCGGTATTGCCTTTCCAAGTCCTTCCTCTCATTTTATTTTATTTTTAAATTCGGGGCTCTCTCTAGGCGGCAAAAGTGGCCAAGTGGGCAGGGAGAGAAGTACGTCTCAAGATTCTCTTCACCGCCCTCTGCCGCACTGATGTTTACTTCTGGGAAGCCAAGGTCTTTCTCTTATTTCATTTCATTACCTATCATTACGCATCTTTCTTCCTATGTCGAACACGAATCTTACTATTATTATATATATAATGTTATCCTCCATTGACAGGGACAAACTCCGTTGTTCCCTCGTATATTTGGCCACGAAGCCGGAGGATATGTTCCCTCACTTTCGTATGCATCTCGCGTGGAATATAAATTCCTTTAGCTTAGACAAAACTTATCTACATTTGGATCGTGGTATTGTATTCAGGAATGTGGAGAGCGTAGGGGATCGGAGGGAGTGGCTCATCTGAAACCAGGAGATCACACTCTTCCGGTGTTCACAGGCGAGTGCGGAGAGTGCCCACAATGTAAGTCGGAAGAAAGCAACATGTGCGATCTTCTGAGGATCAACAAGGACAGGGTTGTTATGATCAACGACGGCAAATCCAGATTCTCAAAGAACGGACAGCCATTATACCATTTTGTGGGAACTTCCACATTTAGCGAGTACACTGTTGTGCATGCTGGATGTGTTGCTAAAATTAACCCTGCTGTTCCTCTAGACAAAGTTTGTGTTCTCAGCTGCGGAATCTGCACAGGTTTTATAGCCTTTTCCCCCTTCCTTCAACGTAACATGCATATTAATCTTTGGACGAAGTCGCAATAATACAATTTGCTGATTGATTCCTCTGTTCTTGTAGGATTTGGTGCTACTGTGAATGTTGCAAAACCAAAACGCGGTTCATCTGCTGCCGTCTTCGGGTTTGGAGCCGTTGGCCTCGCTGTACGTTAATCACTGCCTTTTCCCTCTTTTTTGTGGCGTTTAGTTTTTCAGCAGTTCACACTCAAATATCTACATTATCTCCTGATCACATTTTGTAATCTAAATTTCAAGCAGCTGAAGGGGCAAGAGTTTGCGGTGCATCTAGAATTATCGGGGTTGATTTAGTTTCCAGCCGTTTTGAGGGAGGCACAATTCATATCCTCAGAAGAGACCCCTCACATCTAATCAAATAACGCAATATATAGACATATAGATATAATGATGGTGTGTTTTTAATTTTTATTGGCAGCCAAGAAGTTTGGAGTGAATGAGTTTATGAACCCAAAAGATCATGACAAGCCTGTACAAGAGGTGCGTGCCTAGATAAACCGGTTGGATCATTGATAAATAGAATCTCCCAACAAATCATAGCTAACTAATTGTTTTGGTTGTGTAACAGGTAATAGCTGAAATGACCAATGGAGGTGTGGATCGTGCAATTGAGTGCACGGGGAGCATCCAGGGCATGATCTCAGCATTTGAATGCGTCCACGATGTACCTATTCAGAACTCGTCTGCTTTCCAATTGTTAAAAAGTCATCATAATAGATAGGCCAGCTACGAAGCCAGAGCTGCCGTAAATGGTTGTTGTGTGTAGGGATGGGGTGTGGCTGTACTAGTTGGAGTGCCAAACAAAGACGATGCGTTCAAAACTCATCCAGTGAATTTCTTGAATGAGAGGACTCTGAAGGGCACCTTCTATGGCAATTATAAGCCCCGCTCTGACGTGCCTTCTGTTGTGGAGATGTACATGAAAGGGTTGAGTCAATTGTGAATTGTATTGTATGGTGCTTGAATTCAATTGTGTCATCAAATATGTTGCTGATGACCGGTGTGAGATGTTACGATGAAATTGCAGGAGCTGGAAGTGGACAAGCTCATCACTCATTCCGTCCCTTTCTCAAGAGATCATCAAGGCATCTGACTACATGCTCAAAGGGGAGTCCATCAGGGGCATCATTCGCATGGAAGATTAGAATAATAATTTGGATTAGTGCGTGCTGTGAGAATTGAGTTTTCCCTGTGGCTGTGAAGAAGAATCGGGTTTCATGGACATGTACAGTTCATCAGTTCCTGGTGTATTTCATCAAATTTGCATGAGAGCATGTATATGTGGCATATTAGCCAGCTGGTGCTGAACAGTGAACAGTCCTATATTTGGTTTTGCATTGTTGAACTTATATCAAGTTACTATGTAGATAAAAAATCATGATTTAAAATTATAGAGACTAAAACTAAAATACGATCAAATTATGAGCATCAATATAATAGTATTAACCCTTATTATTTAATATACCAAACAACTCTTGCTAATATATATTCTGGAGAGAATAATTTTTCTCACATTCCTCGGATTCCAAAGGAGGCGGGGGAACCGGCATGCCTTGCAGTTTGCCAGAGAAATCTATCCGCCATTGGGCATCACCTTTTGATAATGCCAGTGCATTTTAATGTGGCGTCCCTTCAAAGCAGTTTTATTTTTTGCCAACTTGAAAGCAGTTTTTTTCTATATATGTATATACTCGTATTTTTCTTTTGTCATCGGATACATCCGGTCATATCACACTTACCTGGGGTACACTTTTTTTTTATTTGGGGGCAACCTGGGCTACATTATACTACTATTTGGCATAAGATCTCAAATTAATTTAGTAATACAGATACCGATGGACGAATCACGAATCAGGTTCCCCGTTCCCAAATTGGCAATCAGTTGGTTTGATTCTGGGAACTTATTTGATTTAATTAATACATGAAACTTTTTTTAATTGGAGGAACCTGTGTGCTTATCTGTCTCGTGACCCTCGCCCGATATGGGTGTCTGGGCGTAATGTTCTTTCCTTTTGCTTTCCCACTCCTTTCCCCCTTTTTAACCATTAAATTAATACAGAGATCATTTAGATTTAGATATTACTCTCTTTAATCCTTTTTATAAAATATAAATAACTGCATTATTAAATAAGAAAAGTATTTAAAATTAATTAGAGATAATAAATATGTAAAAAAATACAACTTCTTTTTCAAAACACTCTTATTTATGTGGAGACTGGAGAATGAGAAAGTGAGTATTATTAATAGAGACATAAATAAAAATGATATTAAATATTTTTAATCACAATTGATAGTTGTGAACTGTTGGCACCAAATTTTAATAATTTAAATTTAATAATATATTTTTTTGCCATCTTAATAATAATTTTATAAAATATCTTTTTTGCCGTTTGGAAGTGTAAATTAAATAAAGGGATGTTTAATATCACCACCATCACCATAAAAAAAAAAAAAGTTTTTGCCAATACCAGTTCAACCATGTCAAACTCTTGCTACTGGACAAAAATGCAACGTTGCGTCCTGCGTTTTTTGCGGTTGGCTTATGGCTGGTTAGTAATTGATCTTAATTTTTAAACCATACTTGTGCTTAAAAAATAATTATATGTTATAGTTGGCAAAAAAAAAGGATATTTTATTTCAAAGAAAACTCAATCACAATAATAATTTACTCTTTAGATTATTACTTATTTAGTAGACGCCTAGCAAGTGGCGACGCTCATCCCTGAGGCGTGTTGTTTTTCAACCGTGGGAAATTGAATGACATGTAAACGTACTTTTATTTAATTTACACTTCCAAACGGCCAAGGCCAAACCTGTGTTCACGGGGGTCAACACGATCAGTTCCCTGTTTGCCCTGGTATTTTATTTTTTAATTTTATTTTTCCCCCGGATGCTCCGCTTTGATGGACCAAGGGGTGAAGCAGACACAGGATCTCATAAGTAAAAACATAATCTCAAGTTGAAACCAGGGAAGGCAACGTGGCAAAACCAAGGCGCCGTTGGAGAAACCACTCGCCTTTCCAAGTCCTAACCCCTTCATCTCAATTTTTTAAAACAAAAAAGAAACATTCCACAGTTCATTTCGGGTTCTCTCTCGGCTTCACAAGTGGCCAAGTGGGCATCTCTTTCCGCCTGTATATATAGCTTTCACAGGTCTCTGCTTTCCCCACATCACACCAGCTTTCAACAATTTCTCACTATTATCATCGACCTTCGTACTCACTGCTCACAAACAAACTATGTCTAGCACAGCTGGTCAGGTTATCAAGTGCAGAGGTCAGTCTTCAATACTAGATCGCATTCAATTCCCCCCCCCCCCGGGTTTTTGTTGATGCTTTCCTCGGATGGTGACACGCTTCTCTCTGCTTCATTCGGGAATGTCAAGTGATTTTTTGAAAAATTATTTTAACTGCTTCGTTTTGGATTCCGATCCTATGTATTCATCTACAAGTGTCTGATTTCGGGGGATGTATTTTCGAAAAGATCCACGTTATATGTGTGCTTTTATATACTGATTTGTTTGTGCGGAATTGGTGAAATGTAGCTGCTGTGGCTTGGGAAGCAGGGAAGCCTCTGTCGATCGAAGAGGTAGAGGTAGCGCCTCCGCAGGCCGGAGAAGTGCGTCTCAAGATTCTCTTCACCGCCCTCTGCCATACTGATGTTTACTTCTGGGAAGCCAAGGTCTTTCTCTTATTTCATTGCCTATCATTACGCCTCTTTTTCCCTATCTCGAACATGAATCTTATTATTATTATTTTCCTCCATCGACAGGGACAAACTCCGTTGTTCCCTCGTATATTTGGCCACGAAGCCGGCGGGTATGTTCCTTACCTTTCGTACGCATCTCGTGTTGAATATAAATTCCTTCAGCTTCAACAAAACTTATCTACATTTGGATCGTGGTATTATATTCAGGATTGTGGAGAGCGTAGGAGAGGGAGTGACTCATCTGAAACCAGGAGATCATGCTCTTCCGGTATTCACAGGCGAGTGTGGAGAGTGCCCACACTGTAAGTCGGAAGAAAGCAACATGTGCGATCTTCTGAGGATCAACACGGACAGGGGTGTCATGATCAACGACGGCAAGTCCAGATTCTCCAAGAACGGACAGCCAATATACCATTTTGTGGGAACTTCCACATTCAGCGAGTACACCGTGGCGCATGCTGGGTGTGTTGCTAAGATTGACCCCTCTGCTCCTCTTGACAAAGTTTGTATTCTTAGCTGCGGAATCTGCACAGGTTTTCCCTTGCTTCAACAAGCATATCATCACGTTGGATGAAATAGCGACACAGTTTTCTGATTGATTCCTTTATTCTTGTAGGATTTGGTGCCACGGTAAATGTTGCAAAACCAAAGCCTGGTTCCTCTGTTGCCATTTTTGGATTGGGAGCTGTTGGCCTCTCTGTATGTTTGTAGCCTTGTTCAGTTTCTTAAGCAGTTCATGATTAGACGGCTGTGTTACGTGCTGATCACATTTCCGAATCTAAATTTGTAGGCTGCTGAAGGGGCAAGGGTTTCTGGGGCATCCAGAATTATCGGGGTTGACTTAATGTCCAGCCGTTTTGAGAAAGGTACGGCTCATATATTCAGGAAGGACTTAGTGCATCTAATTAAATTGCAATCTGTATACTGATGGTAATTTAATTATATTCTTAATGTTATTAATATTGCAGCTAAGAAGTTTGGGGTCAATGAGTTTGTGAACCCAAAAGATCATGACAGACCTGTACAAGAGGTTAGTGCATGCGTGGATAAAAGAGTTGGGTTGATTGTGTTGATAAATAGAGTCGCCCATCACAATCACATGATAGTAATTAACCTGGTTTTAGTTGCGAACACTCAACAGGTAATAGCTGAAATGACAAATGGGGGAGTGGACCGTGCGGTTGAGTGCACCGGGAGCATCCAGGCCATGATCTCGGCATTCGAATGTGTCCACGATGTACTTATTCTAAGCTCATCTGCTTGCTAATCGGTAAACATTAATTAAAAGTCATATAATTAACTGTGGAAACGGTATACGGTGCGCAGGGATGGGGTGTGGCGGTCCTGGTTGGAGTGCCAAACAAGGATGATGCATTCAAAACTCATCCAGTGAATTTCCTGAACGAGAGGACTCTGAAGGGCACCTTCTACGGCAATTACAAGCCGCGTTCTGATGCGCCTTCTGTTGTGGACATGTACATGAGAGGGGTAAGTCTTCTTCTGGTTGAATGAAATTTTTTACTCTCAACTTTCTTGTGTTAATCTCTGTGGTGGTGGGTGTGATCTTGGGATGAAATTGCAGGAGCTGGAACTGGAGAAGTTCATAACTCATTCTGTGCCTTTATCGGAGATCAACAAGGCATTTGACTACATGTTCAAAGGCGAGTCCATCAGGTGCATCATTCGTATGCAAGAGTAGAACCATGTGTGCCGTCAGGATTCAGAGTTTTCTTTGTGGGTGTGAAAAACACGAATAAATTAGCTTCACACCAAACTAATTATAATGCCCCGTGTATATTATCAAATTTGTGCAGTGTCGCAATGTTGAGAACCGTACATAAGGACGTTTTTTACTTGAAATTTTGGCATCTGCGCCTTCCAACGCACATTGTAATACCAGTGTATGCGATATCGTATTTCTTTGATACTTATGTTTGAATAAGAACTTAAGTAGGTGTGTTATTGTTGGCAAAAAAAAAAAAAGAGGTGTTATTAAATCTTTAATTTAATGGAATCAAATAATATAATGAAAAGGTGTCTAAATATTATGAAAGTATCGCTTAAATATTCTAAAAGTATCCATGAAGGAATATCTGATTCCTAGAAGTTTTTTTTGCCTTTTTTATGCTTTGAAAATTTATTTTCGTAACAAAAATATCGTGGATATCATCCGTCTTTAAGTTTGACAGTTAAATTATACGGTTTGACGGGTATTTTTAATATTCAAACTAAATGGCAAATAATGATTCAAGCTAAAAATATTACAAAATAAAACTTTTAAGACATATAAGAATTAAAAAAATCCAGATACTGAGTAATTCCTTATAAATACTTTCAGGGTATTTGAGTACCTTATCCCAATAATACATTAGTATGGATCAATATTTGCGGATTAAAACGTGTCAAATTCTCGTGACAGCTAACAAGAAATAAAGGGCAGAAATCGATTGCGAAAAATTCAAATGAAACAAACAGTCTAGAATAATAAAGATTTCGACATTCATAGTCAAAGATTGAAAAGAGGAAATTGCATGCACTGTTGAAGCTTTTCAACCACTGAAAATTCATAAAAGAAGACGGGCCACGACATCCTGGTGACCGTAATGAGGAGATTATATGTAGGTCACACTGATCAAATTTACATAAATTTCGGTGTGTTTGATATGTTTTATGATTAATTAGATTTGTCTTCGTATTTAAGCTGTTGTATTTCTCATCCCACGTAATTTCGACGGGTGTTGGGTTTGGGCTTGGGCTATTTAAAAAAAAAATACGACGCAATACAAAGCGAAATTGTATTCCCACTGCATGGTTTTATGGGGTCCAAAAAGACATAATTAACAAAAAATCTCAATATCAACCTAAGTAATTTGTCATGAGTAAAAAATAACAAAACTTTAATTTGTTATTGAGACCTGTTAATAGTTACTCCTCCGGTCCTAATTATAAGACTCAATTGACTTATTTGAGAAAATTAAGGAAGTAAGTTAAGTTGGTTATTGTCATTCCTAAAATATCCTTGCTAATTAAGTATATTAGCTAAAACTATCATTATTAGAAGGATTATCTTGGAAAAAAATGCATAAATATAAGAGACAAAATGGATTGGGTCTTATAATTAGGACCAAATAAAAAGTCAAATTGGATCTTATAATAAGGACCGGAGGAGTATTTTTTTTTATTGGGACTTCAGTATAATTCTTCCTAGTTTTATTTTGCTGCGTCTGCATGTTAGATTGATCATATTTGTCCGTAACCATCAAATTCACAGTTGGACATGACATCATAATATTGCTTCTTTTAATAGTGTTTAATTTAATTATTTTTTTGGCCTGAGGCTTGGAGTTGCATCTTACCATCTTCTTTTGGTTGTCACAATTTATATTCTGTTTCAGATAAAGGTAACGGTGTAGCTCAAGCAAATTCCGTAACATTACGAATGATTTATAATATGATGATGTCTTTGGCAGAGCAGAGCAGAAACACTGAAAAAGTTGATCGATCACTCTATTACTTAACTTTTCAGCACACAGAGACTCAACATTTTTGCCCGCCCCCCAAAAACAACTCAACATTTTAAAATCCCAGGTGAACCCTGTGCCCTTGTTAATATTTGTTCTCCATCATGAAATATTTTTAAAGATTATGTTACGTTAATGTAAATGATGTTAAAAACTTATAACAAAATAATATAAAAATTATATTACATGGAAAATTTGAAGGGAATTTTTTTTATGGAGTTTTGAGTTAGAAAAAGATAACAACATATGGGAGATTGGAATGGAACCAAGTGGGAAGGAAGGACTAGAGACGCATCTTTGAAACCAGAAAAGGCTTACGTTGAATGAGGAAACCAAGGGGCGCTCGAAGATGTATCCAGTTTCAATGCTTATTACTCCTCGAGTTTTTAATATATGACTTAATTTTTGAGTTGGTTTTGACATTAAATATAAGGCTCATTTATCATATTTATCAATTTTTTCTAAATTATCCATATGAATACTCCCTCAACCATAATCAAGTAGAAGAGGGAGATGAGGTATTAAAAAAGATGATTATGGTGTTTTAGGAAAAATGTGTCACTTTTCTTATAATTAACTAACTTACCTAACTTTTCAATTTAATCAAATTAGTTAAATAGGTTTTATATTAAGAACTAGAAGAGTATATTGATAAACATTCTAAATTCATTAGACCTTGATCATTGATATCTTATTTGAATAGTTCATTTTTTAAATTTTAATTAATTATTTTAAAATAGAAAAAATTAGTTTTAAAAAAAATAATAGTTAAGAAATTATCTTTATTTTATATTTTATAACTCTTAAAATAATTTTTTAAACAAATAAAAAGATAAAAAGATAAATCTGGACCATCTATCCGGTTTCGCTGAAACCACCAACCTATAACCTACGGTCGTTCTGCTGATTAATTTGCCTTTTATTATTATAACCTGCTGGTATTGGATCGCGACCACGGCAAAACCACAGCGGTATTGGAATTTGAATCCCTTCCGTTCAATTTTTTTTTGGCCTATTTTTGTTTTCATTAAATAAATATTCCTTAATTCGGGTTCTCGCTTATGCTATATTACACGCGTGGGCATCTTCCCAAAATAACATATACAGCTTTCGGTGGCCGCTGCCTTCCCCACATAGGAACAATTTTCCCTGTCATCTTCGTCCTTCATACTCATATCCAGTAGCTATGTCTGCCACAGCTGGTCAGATTATCAAGTGCAAAGGTCAGACTTCACTCTCATCATTCCCTCCGTTTTCTTCCTTCTTACTGCTGCAACTGGATATTGCATCCCCTGCTTTCCTATCTCTTGCAAAGATCCTTCCCTCTTCTGAATCTCTAGAACCTCCTTTTGATCTCTGACTCTTACTGTAGCTGTTGTTAGGGTCCATTGATTCTTTTTTTTTCCCCCGATTTTTGGTGTTGCTTTCTTTATATGCTACCTCGCTTGGCTCTGTTTTCCCTGGGAAAGTGGAAGTGATTTGTGAAAATCAGATGACTCTATTGTTTTGGGTCAGGATCCTATGATTATATGAGGATCTGAATTCAAGGGATGTATTTTCAAGCTGATCCACGTTAGACGCTTTGTGTTGGTAACAGTATATACTGATCGGGCCGTGTGGAATTGTTTTGAAATGTAGCGGCGGTGTCTTGGGAAGCAGGGAAGCCACTGGTGATTGAAGAGATAGAAGTGGCGCCTCCCCAGGCTGGAGAAGTGCGTCTGAAAATCCTCTTTACCTCTCTTTGCCACACTGACGTTTACTTCTGGGAAGCAAAGGTGCTCTTATTTTATTTAATCGCTCATCCCATTTTTAGGAATCCTTCTTCCTTTATGGGATCTGAATCTTACTTTTATTATATATTTTTTTCCGATGACAGGGTCAAACTCCAGTGTTCCCTCGTATATTAGGTCACGAAGCCGGAGGGTATGTTCTTTCCCCTTGCTATTTATAAATTCCTTTAACTTAACAACTAAAATATTAACATGTGTGGATGGTGATATTATACATAGGATTGTGGAGAGCGTAGGGGAGGGAGTGACCCATCTGAAACCAGGAGATCATGCTCTTCCGGTATTCACAGGCGAGTGTGGAGAGTGCCCACACTGTAAGTCGGAAGAAAGCAACATGTGCGATCTTCTGAGGATCAACACGGACAGGGGTGTCATGATCAACGACGGCAAGTCCAGATTCTCCAAGAACGGACAGCCAATATACCATTTTGTGGGAACTTCCACATTCAGCGAGTACACCGTGGTGCATGCTGGGTGTGTTGCTAAGATTGACCCCGCTGCTCCTCTTGACAAAGTTTGTGTTCTCAGTTGTGGGATCTGCACAGGTTTTTCATCCTTCCCCCCTTCCTTCGTCATGGATATAATCTTTGGATGAAGTAGTAATACTATTTTCTGATTGATTCCTTCATTCTTGTAGGATTTGGTGCTACTGTGAATGTTGCAAAACCAAAACCCGGTTCCTCTGTTGCCGTTTTCGGCCTTGGAGCTGTTGGACTGGCTGTATGTTTCCACCTTTCTTTTGCGTTGAGTTCAGTTTTTTATAGCAGTTCGTAATTAAACAACTATATTATATTAACTCCTGATCTTTCTTTTTTTGTTTTTTTTAATATGAATTTTAGGCCGCTGAAGGGGCAAGGGTTTCTGGTGCGTCCAGAATTATTGGGGTTGATTTAGTTTCCAGCCGTTTTGAGCTAGGTACTACTTATATTTCCTTGCTTACAAAATGGAATCCGCGAGGCTCATTGAATTGATAAATATTTACCTATTGGTGTTGATGGAATTATATTTTCCTATTGTTATTGGCAGCCAAGAAGTTTGGGGTTAATGAGTTTGTGAACCCAAAAGATCATGACAAGCCCGTGCAAGAGGTTAGCTTACGCATCGAAAAACTAATCGATTTGATGAATAAATATAGTTGGATATCATATCAAAGTTGGCCAGCTTCACTTGTGAACAGGTCATAGCTGAAATGACTAACGGAGGAGTGGATCGCGCGGTTGAATGCACGGGGAGCATCCAGGCCATGATCTCGGCATTCGAATGTGTTCACGATGTACTTATTCAAAACTCACATCCTTGATATCGCTGGAAAGACATATTCTAATAACTCGATAAGCAGCTACATTCGAAGGCTGGACTAACAAATGAGAGGTTATTGCGTGCAGGGTTGGGGTGTTGCAGTACTAGTTGGAGTGCCAAACAAGGATGATGCGTTTAAAACGCATCCTATGAACTTCTTGAACGAGAGGACTTTGAAGGGTACCTTCTATGGAAACTACAAACCTCGCTCTGATCTGCCTTCTGTGGTGGATAAGTACATGAAAGGGGTAAGCCTAGTTGGAGAGTGAGTTTTATTGTATGTTGTTTCTGCCTATGTGGTCTGGTTTTATGATGGGTGTGGGATGTAATAATGATGAAATTGCAGGAGCTGGAAGTGGACAAGTTCATCACTCATTCCGTCCCTTTCTCAGAGATCAACAAAGCCTTTGACTACATGCTCAAAGGGGAGTCCATCCGATGCATCATTCGCATGGAAGATTAGAACATTGGTGGAATGGTGTGTGCTGTGAGGGTTCACTTGTCCTGCTTGTGATTGTGAAGAGGAATAAAGTTTCATGTAGAACCGGGTAAACCTTGTAATACTTAATGAATCACATGTTTATGTGTACTTCGTTTGTGTTGGTGACTCGTAAGAAATATGCTTATTATCAATGTAGTATTTATCAGTTTCGTGTTGTGTGATATTTGTTTCATTTATTTCTACATGCAATCTTGTACTTCTTTCGATTGGTGATCGCACCAATGTGACGCGGACTTTCGGCCCAAGATTTTTTTGGCCGAAGATTTTATCAACATCAAATGTGTTAAATATGGACGAGGCCGAAATCTTTAAAATTAGACAATATAACTATGTCCTTAATTTTTATCTAAATTAAGACATTTAAGATGTGGCAGATTTTAATTGGTCAAATCGAAACATTTCCTTCTAAACGAGATCAAATACAAATGGAAAACAAAATCAAAGGAAATGAAAGAACTGATTGCAAGATTCCGGAATTTGATTTTAGAAATTTAGTTTGCATATCCAAATCGAAGCCTAATATCATTATCAGAGCAAAAAATGCTCAAATCTATCAGACCGGAGCCATGGAAATCAAGTGGAAAACCCCAAAAAGTCCGGGCTAAAACTAAAAAACGATGCTGCATTGATAAAGGTTCATTTACTTCCAGCCGTCGCCCAGTTTTTTGTTTTTTGTAATCTTTTTTTCACCAAGAAGAGGAGAACCCAAACGAGTATCAAATTCTTGGGCCTCGAGGAACCAATTGGAACCAGTCTCAACTAAACTCATCAGAGCTTGACTATCTATATATCTGATTTAAACAGTTCAGATTTAAAACTTTTAATTAATTATTTTTAAATAAAAAATGTTTTTTGTAAAAATGATAGTTAAGAAATTATCTCTATTTTAGATTCTATACATATTAAAATAATTATTTTAAATAAATAAAAATAAAATCTAGAATATTCAAATGAGATATAGATGATCCACGTCCTATGAGTTTATGGTGCTCATCAAAGTGATAAGAACCGAAACTGATTCGAAACCAATTCCATTATTATTATCTTTATATGACACACATAAATAGTGCTTATTATCTGAAACTCTATGCAGAGCAAGAGAAAGGAATTTGCATATTTACATTTTTATTTATTTAAATGCATAGTTTAGTCGCTAGCTTTAAATTGGGAGGGGGGGGGGGACTTCACAATTTTATCAAATTACTGAACAGAATTACGCGCCCGACGCCGCGAACAGAGAGTTTATTGATTGATGCACTGCAGACAGTATTTCATGTGGGTTTCAGTCGTGGCTTGCTCGCTTGTGCTGAAGCTCGTGATGATGATGGTGTCCAAAACCAGAAGAAGTATTTGCCACGTCATGGTCATGGCCACTAGAGCTGCCCTGATCATTAGCTGACGATGATTCCGCATGGACACCGTCGCCAAACTTCTCATTCTTCACTTCACCGCCGATATGCACATCATCCTCTACCGTCATCACCACAACCTTCTGTCCGAAAGGACCCGACACAATTTCTTCCTTAACCTTTTTATGCTCATCAACGTGCATAATGTCCATTTCTTGGGACGCCTTCTTCTTCCTCCTCCTAATACAGCAAAACAGAGCAAAAGCCAGCAATGCAAGGAAGAGAAGGCCGCCCAACGAAACAAACACGATCACAATCACTATAGGATGACTTGGAGCAGGCGAAGGTGGAACTGGGGCTGGGGGTGGCCGCACAGGTGGAGGAGGGGGAACAATTGGATGAGATGGCGGCGGCGGCGGGTGCACATGAGGAGGTGGCGGGGGAGGTACACGTGGAGGTGGTGGTGGAGGTACACGCCGAGGTGGAGGCGGAGGGGAAAATCGATGAGACGGCGGAGGAGGTGGAGGAGGGGATGAATGGGACGGTGGGGGTGGCGGATGGAAGGGATGAAAAGGGGGCGAAGGGAAGAAAGGGAAGTTGAAATTGTTTGGCTGTGGGGAGGCCATGTTGGGTCTTACGTTAATTATTGAATGTCTGTTCTATAACACTGCAAGTAAAATGTGAGGCGTCAGGGGCTTTTTGTAGGCGGCATTTAGAAATATTTTGATTTGATTAGCATGTCTGCAAGTTTTTAGTAACTTGACACTCATTCTAAGTCTTATATGTTTGCAGTGGAAAACACTTCTCGCCCATAGTTCCTTTGCTTCTGAAACTTATTCCTCTTCTTCTTAAAGGCATTGAGGAGTTAACTTATTATTATTATTATTTAAATAAATTACTACGAAAATAGGAAGGAATGTGCAAGACCCATACCCATAAACTCCGAGCACTTACTCTGTATGCAATTCCTATGTGCCTGCACTTTGGAACCTGCGGAGAGCTGTGCATCCTCCGGCAGCGATGAAGGACAGAGGCTCAGTTATCTTCAACTTAAAGTCATTTTTATATTTGAAGTCTCCTTGGCTCTTCCTCGGAGTGCATCTCGCTGTTTTTATCGCTGCACGTTGAGTCAGTGGGGGAGTTGCAGCAAGTTTTTCTTTTCTTTTTTACCTTTCGCCCTTGAAATTATTGCGAGTTAATTATCATGCAATTTTATATTATATTAAAGTCGACAGTTTTCTATGATTAGAAATTATCCCTACAAACTACTTGAGACTAGCTCAGGTGACAAGGATATAAAGGCAGAATATGAATAGATGTCACAAATTCAAATCCTCTTAACGTATGGAAAAAAGATTATATGCTCACCAAAACGCCTCAAGCTAGCATATAAATATGTTCAGACAAAGACACTTCAATTTACTCGTGTTTTTACAGGAATTATCAGCTCAATGAATTGAAATGTGATGCTTTTCCTAGAGACAGCTTCCCATCAATGGCACACCCTACACGTTATTTCCACATTTTCTATCAACCCATGGACTGATTGATAACTTCCTTGTAGGAACCATGCTGTCATTTTAAATACTGAAGGAGAAAGCAAAAGTCTGCGTCCTCCAACCATTCCTTGTCAACACACAGATACATGAACCTGGAATTCAAGTTGAATTTCTTTATTAACGGAAATGAACGATTACATAAATGTGCATTACACCGAAGATTCTTGTTTCTTGGCAAAAACTACAAAACTTGATCACAGAAAAGCAAATGTACACCACAGAGCCTCTCGTTTATTCACAAGCTTACACTGAAGGAATTGCTTCCCACATGCACATGCAACTTATCTGCCCCAGCATTTGGTTAACTTTAGATATAACCGGCCAAGAAAAACACTTAGACATAACTGGCCAGGAAAAAAAAAAGAAAGAAAGAAAGAAGAAGAACTTTTAGAGATAGCAACCAGGGGAGGAGAGGAGATTGCAACATCCAACTTTTTACAAAAAGCTGTGATGTCAGCTAGCCCCGTTGGTTGACAGCAAATACGAGAAGAGAATTTCGTTCCACATATCAGGTACTCCTGGCAGACACCAATGGCTACAATCGGGCACAGACGGGTTGTCGCTCCAGTGCCCCACATGCCCATCGCTTCTATATGCACCCATTGGGGTTACATGCAAAACTCTTACTGATACATTCATCTCCTTCACAGTCCTTATTATAATATCTGATATAGGGCTTCGATCTCTCCCATTTGTCCTCTTCCATGGTCTACTAGTCACTTTGCAAGTTTTACTGTCACATAGGCCACCAACTTCATCATTACAAACTAAATACACATCCTATTATTTGCTTCACAATAGAATCATATTTATGGCCTTAGAACTTAGTTCTGCCTTTACCAAACCAGAGACTCGGAAAACAAAAGCGGTGAACAGCTTACCCCCAGTGAGATGACTCAAAAGTACGGAAGAATATTTTCGTTCTATTTGTGTTCACCGCGCTTTTTACCCAAGACGCCCAGGTGTGCAGAGCTGTGCTGAAAGCAGAATTGATTGGCATTCCAGGCTTTAGCGAGTCACCGACTTGAAAATACCACCCCCTGTCTCAAGACCGTGTCAGTACTTCCAAGTAAAGCGCTGCCTTTGCATGGTTACAAATTTAGAGAAAGCTGAGGCAAATCAAAATGTTCGCTGACGTTGTTAAATTGAGATAACATAGAACATAGCCAAAACATACCATTATTAAGGATAAATGCCAAAAATTAAAACAGTAGTTACAAGTGATAGACTAATTGCTGATAGATAATCTCAAGACTACTCATTTCAATCCAAATGTTGGAATATTTTTACCAAAGACGCCGACCAGTTAGCAAATCAGATCCAGAAATTTCATGACAATAAAATGTAAATCCCATCTATGTTAGGAAAGTTAAGCTACTCACGCGTCAAAAAGCTTGTTTCGTGTCCACCAGTGACCTGAATTAAATATTAGAACATCTGAATCAATCCACTCATGGCTAATATCATCCATCTTGTCCAGTCTTAGTGCTGTCTTCACCCTTTTAGGAGCATTTCTTGGCACCGGACCATTCTTCACCAAGAATACTGATCGATAAAAGTCGATTCTAATATTGTAAGAGCTGAATCTCACACCTAAAAACCTAATCCGTTTAGTGATCTCATTGCCGTTGGTTTCGTACACACTTCTTTTATTCTCTACTCCTGTCATAAGTAAACATATCAAAGATTCCCATTGTGTTCTACTCAAAGAGTCCCCAACAAAGACCACCCTTTTCCCACGAAGTTCCTCCAGTAATCTACGAGCATCAAACCTTGGAATCTCACAATTTTTGGGTTTCCATCTCCATTTCGTAAAACCTCTGTCTTTACGCCCATTTGCAAGGCAGTTAAAACCACGTTCTGCGAAAGGGCAGTGTGAAGCATCATATAAAGGGTAACTCTCGTCTCGGATCCATCTTCCGTCAAACACATTGCAAGCAGAAACTGATACATTGGGTTTCAGAATCTCACGACTTTGAGCTGCCGAGTCAGAAATGTTACGAATTTCCAGCCCCTGAATGAGCGAGTGCGAAGTGGGAAACACAAAAGAGTATGCCCAGAAAAGGACCATAAGAAAAGATATGAAGGATCCTGCGGCTACAAGCCCATTGAAGGAAGAAAGGACCCAGACATTGGAATCACCCTTCATCATTCTATCCATAAATCCAGAAGCTCTCGAGCACAGAGTCCTAAGCTTGGCGAAAGAGATCCAGAAACTAACCAAACCCAGCATCTGCATTATTTGCAGAACCC